TTGGGCAGAAATTAATAACTCCTGTCCCTGTTGGCCTAGAACGTTCAAATTTTGTAAGAGTACAGGCGGCAGGATGGGAACATTTATGGTGGGTGGCAGGTCCGGACTCCGCCCACAATGGGCGGGGTTTGTGTGAAAAACCCAAACTTGGATCTAGAGCGTTCAAATTTGTTAGGAGTACAGGCGGCAGGATGGGAACACTAATGGTGGGTGGCAGGACCGGACTCCGCCCACAGTTTAGCCAGAAATTCATAACTCCTTCAGGGGCGGGGCTTGCAGAGAAATGTCAAAATGGACCAAGAGCGACCAAACTTGAAAGAGTACAGGAGGCAGGATAGGAACACCGATGTAAGGTTGCAAGGCTAAACTCCGCTCTAAAGGGCTGGGGTGAATAAATACTATTAATTCGGACCCAGACCGTTGAAACTTGAGGACGCAAGGAGTCGGCTGGGAACATTGATGGTAGCTAACATAGTAGACTCAGCCGCGATGAAGTATCTAAATACTTTTTTCTCTGAGTAATCGCATTTGTGATATCATGCGATGCTCTATTCGGACACAGCGAAGATGGCTTACAGAAAAAATCGCTCCTGATTCGGAGCTAACACTGAGGGTGTAGAGCTTTCAAAGAAAAAGGAGAATCCGAAGTGTTATTTACGCATAGCAAATTTCTCACAGGAAGGAGGAGCGCCCGGCCACGCCGGGCGAACCCATAAGAAGGTGTGAAGCCCGGCGTTAGCCGGGCGGCCCGACTGGTACTTTGAAAAAAGAAATACAAAAATACAAATAAACATGGAAACCACATTGAACCTACGGACAGGGTAGATCCTGTTCATCCTAATCCGAGCCATCCAAGTCCTCCCAGCCTCCCTCTGGCACTGCTCCTCCGTTCCTCCAATGGTTGCGGACCATTCCTCTCGATGTTCCTTGCGTACGACATACTTGGCAGCAATGGCACCAGTGGTAAATGACAACAAGGCAGTGCTACGAGAACCACTGAAGTTGCGTAGATGGCGTTGACATCGATTGGCACCAGGAGACCGAGACGCGCAGGCGGCTGCGACGATGACTACGACGACAATGGTTGATGCAATCGCGCATTGCGGAGAGACCGGCCAGAGTCCGTGGCTAAGTATAGCCACGTGGCAGACTGTAGCTCTCCGCAGCAGACTGTGCCTTCTCGGCGGGAACGAAGGCACGTCACACCAGACCGACCTTTGAGTCATCCAAATGGCACGACACAGCTAACCAATCCCTTTTTGGGATGCGCCCTTGCACTGTACTCCCATACAGAAACGTAGTGGCGTAATGAGTGCGTGTATGACGTGTACATATGTACAATGACTCGAGGTGGCCAACCAATGTACAAGTCAGTGATTTTAACCTCCCAAACGAGTCTGGTACCATTTAGACCTCGAAGAGATGGGAGGCTTGGGGGGCCCGTGCAGATCTCAATGCGGGAGATAATTTTGTGCTTGTGATAATGAGCCACTACCCCTATAACAACTCGTTCTATCGAGAAAGACAACATAAACGAAATATTCCAGCAACATTCGCACTATGGTAGGAAGCAGCATTCTGGATCTTTTGTGGGGATTCAGTTGGATAGCTACGTCACCCTTCATTCATGTGGTTAGTACGCTTGTTTTTGACACTCCAATGAATACACTCAGATCAACTAGTTCTCCTTACTCATTTTTCACTATTGTAGCGGGGACATTGAGTGAAAAAAGTGGAAGGTCTCTTTTTACCAGCTGTATGAAATTTCAAAGCAGCCCACAAGACATAGGTCAAAATGATCTCGTAAAATTTGAAGAGTTCTGCTTTCCTTGGAAACATGGTAATGCTAATTTATGGCCATCATAAATTGAATTGGAGCCATTCATAACTCATCCAATATATCCAAGTCTTCATTCACTCCATCCATTAGCATCATACAGTTTCACCCCTCTTCTTAAGCTCAGCTTGCTTTCGATCATATAGACCGACATGTAGTCACCTTTGCTCCTAATATGTAGGTAAGATCACCCTATTAGGAGAATCTCAAGAGTGATTACTTCGGAAGGGGGAGAGTCAAACGCTGCTCTGAGGATATTGCCTCCCCACCACCAAAAATGTGTGACTCATACATACAGTGACTTGTGGTAACCGACCGATTCAGACTTTAGTCTTTACATCCTCCCAGACGTGTACCGTATTAAATAATCAACAACCTTGAATGGTAAAAGAACCAAAAAGATGGTCTCCTTAGTCCCAAAATATCTTCATAGCTATCGTAAAAAAAACCCGCTCTGATTTCAGGCTTGCTTTATCGGTTTATTCACCGCAAAGATTCATTATACAGGATACACTTGGCGAGTCATATTCAGCGTTATGACTTTCATCTGGGTTCCGCTCAACTTCCTACTCAAAGACTATGAACGAAAGAGCATTCGCGAACCAATCCAGGTTTGATCTGATTCTCTTCAAAGGTTTTTGATGTTCAAAATCTCCTATAACATAGTCCATCTGAAGACAAAGGGGATAAAGTATACAAATATTTTAACCCTTCAATAGTTTGCAAAATCAACCTAAATAGTTTATTTCAACTTATTTGGACCGGAAGCCCCACTCCCCTTCCCTTCCGGCCACTGGTGTAAAGAGAGGAGAGAAAAGTCGGGACCCTTCCATACGTAAAAGCGAGCATGGATTGATTGACCCAACGGCTAATGCAAATGTATCTTTCCACTCATGATATTTCTCAAAACAAGTCATTTCTGGAAGTGTCGGAAGTTTTACCAGTTTACTCCTAGGGAGCCCACTTAGTTACTCTCCACCTTTGAATGTAATGCTAAGCGGACCTTGAAATTTGAGGTTTGCATATCAACTAAATATTTGCAGGACATTCAGGCGTATTTCAGGCATTATGTTCAAGCATAAATTAGTTCTGGTGAAGTTTTATCCTCTCTTGCAGGTCATGTTCCGTCCCCAAAAAGACTGGGGACCGGCGCATACGGCAAATCGTGAAGAAGCAAGGCGAATGGAACGGGCCATGCGAGTTTTATGAGGCTAACTGATCACGTTTGGCCGGCCATCTCATTTCTTTCCAAAAAAAAAAGAACTCCGTAATTGCAAACGAATATTTTTATTAAAAATTTGCCCTGGAAGTAAAAGTTCTATGAGCAGTGTGAGTCCGGTTCACCGCAGCGTCGAATTTCAGTGCGGTTGAGCTGGAGTTGCTAAGAAAGTGTTGCTGGATTGAATTTTCGAATAGTTCTATGAGTGTTAAATCGTTATTTCGAATTATTTTCGAAGAAGAACGTCCCGTCTGCAATAGTCTGAATAGGTACCCAGTTCCTCCTTCATACTCAATGGATCGAATATTTCGGAATGCTCGGCATAACATCTGCGCTGAGCTCGCAACTTTCCTCACGCGGTCTTTGTGACAGATGACACAGTGAAGGTAGGGAGGCTGAAACGGTCACGGAAACGGTTTCGGACCAGCCTCTGCCTTTGATATGTAGAGAGATTCCGACAATCCGGACCATGACATTAATACCACATTTGCGCAAGGACGTTCTCAAGTCTAAATAGACGGGTGCTTTCAAAAAAATGGAGGCAAATAGGCAACTTCTCTTCACTCTCTATAGGTGGTCTCCTGCTGGTGAAGCGTTTTAGGGTGTGGTCCACGAGGGATTCTTAATCAAAAAAGACCGATAAGAGATAGACACTTTCTTGCTAGTTCCAGGGATTCTACTTTCTTCCGATTACCTGTAGTGATTGATCAGCAGCTTGGTAGTAAAAGCTGTCCAGCAAACAGGATACACCAAATATTTACTACTGTCGTAACAATATCAACAATCAAAACATTATGCATAAAAGACGCGAAAACATCGCAAACATTTCAGTATTTTTGAAAAACTTCTACTCTACAAAGATAGTTATAAAGTATTTGAAATAGTAACTAATCTAGACTTTAGTTTCTGAATCGCTCCGAGAAGTTACAAAGAAATAACACCAATATTCCAAAAATAGGAGAGAAAAGGTGAAAACACAAAATACTAAAAACAAAAACTTCACAGGGACTGCGATGAGCGAGCATGGCACCATTTATATATCACGGAATTCATAGAACACTGTTCTATGGGAATTTACAAAAATAGAAAATACAAAATAAGTGAGAAGGTGCTTACAAGTGAAAAATGTATCAGACTCCGAGATGATGAAATTCTTTGCTACATCTATGGTGCTGTTTTCCTGTTCGGAGACTGCAGCCTTAGGCAGATACAAGACGGATTTTAAAGCCTCGTGATTGAATTATACAGTAACCCAACCCCAACAGTACCCTAAGGCGCCTCCGAACACCCGTCACATGTAGGACACAACAGAAAGGTACCTCGGACGAGGTCTACGGGTGCGTGCTCGCCAGATGAGAGGTTACTGTATCTCACGTTCACTGGACTTCAGAATCTGACTTGACAGGCAGCTTCAATACTAGGCAGTTTTCTGTCAATGGTTCGGAAAGACAGGGAGCGCTAGCGCTTACAGATCTTCCGTCTTATTTGAAAAAAAGGCTGACTTATCTGAGGGCTTGTGTTCAAAATCAATTTCTGTCTACCCACAGCAGAAGTCCGTTTTTCCCTAGCACCAAACGAATACCTGGGACAATGTCTACAACCGTGCGCCTAAGTAAATATGAGTGAGGCTAAAATAATAATCGACGAGCAATTTACAGGAATCAGGATAGAAAAATCAAAATCATCAGGAAGAATCGAGAACTGGGAATCCTGTATGTATAACGCCACAAGACGCTATACTATACTATACATTCTTTATGCAAACCGAGCAGCTGCTCGCGATTTCGCAAGGCTTTTTGGAAAATCATAAAGATGGCAAGCCTTTCTGACTTACAAATGTAGGCGGTGGAGCTGGTAGCAAAGCCAAGGCCAATGATGGCTTGAAGAAGAGAAATTTAATACTTTTTAGTAACCAAACCTGGCTAGCTAGAAAGGATCTCGAGATAGAAGTCGAATCTTGGAAAGTAGAAGAGCTAAATTCATTTGCATCATCGCAGAGAATGGTAAAAGATGAGAGAGACAGATACTGCTTTGACTGAATGCTTGAATGTCCCCTGAACTTAGCAGGTGCTCTGCGACATCAGGCATTCTGAGCGAAATTAGAATTGTCTTCAGGCCCTGGAAGACAAGAGAGATGAGGACTGATAAGGGTTTCATGGCTGCTCTCCGTAAGCTACTAATATGACTAGGAACGGCTTCAATGGATCTGACTATTCCGACCAGAAGTCAAATGTGCGGCACATTCTAGAGAGACAGAGAGAGAGTTAAGAGCGCTGCGGATTCTGATAGCATGTTCTGCGGTCAGCGAACCTATAAAATCAGTTAGTCAGCTCTGCCTCAGCTGGAAAGCTCTATAAAAGTCGAGGGGAATGCTAACAAAAAACTTAGTTTTGTATCAACGTTATATGAGAGTAGCTTTCTTTGTATCTATTATTGGCGGCAGCAAGGGCAGAAGAATCGAATGAACTTCTTGCGATATGGCGCAATAAATACGAGAATCGCCACGAGGACGACCAGTGGTCGAATCAAAAAGATCCGAAGGTGCTCCACATAAAGTTCAGCAGCCATTTCCAATGGAAGACTCTTCTCGTCTTCTTTCGAGAAGTTGAATGTGATGAGGAAATCCTGCACTAGCGAAACAGCAGCCCATACTGGAAGGAATGACTATTCAGACTGATTCAAAATGCCGGTGAGATTGAAAGCATATAAGAACTATAATCGCTACCATATGAGAAATGTAAAGAAAATGTTCATTAACGGTGTATGAAGTATATGTGAACTTTTGACGTTGGAAGGACAGTTCCTGATAAAAATGGTTATTGGGTTATCTTCTTAGGATAAATCTGTAGCACACAAGGATAGCACTTGTCGTTTTGAAAAACGACCTCGACAGGGCGTCATGGGGTCAGAAAGTGGCTTAGTCGAACAACATGCCCAAGAGCGGCCGCGATGATGGTTTTCTTAGGACTGAAGCATTCAAAGCGACGCGTCAGGAGGCCGAGGGAAAGTAAAGCTATGTAGGAGGCACTCGAACGATTTAAGACATCCAATCCCTTACTACCTCTTTCGTGCTGCTCTTCTAGAGTATTAGATTTCCCAAGAAACTACAATGTCCGCGCTTCCTTCGTTCACTAGAGCTAGACACCTCAGAATTATCGTGAACTGCGCTCCTAAGCAGAGATGGAACTCACTGAGATATGGGACGGCGAATGCTTGTACAACGATTTGGAAGAGTATGAACGAGAACAGCCGCCGTTTCCCGAAGCGAACCTCAAAAAGGAATTCAACTGTTTCCGAGAAAACTGTAATCAATAGAGATAGGAGATTTAATGAAGCGAACCTGATCATATGGAGACGACTTTGTGTACTCGTCACGGCGACGGCAGAACACTATGACAGACTGCAAAGAAAAACCATTAAAGAATTTGTAGGAGTAAAGCTCAACACAGTGAAGCAGTGCTTATTCAAAAGGGATTATGATGGAGAGGACTGGAAATTGGATATTTCTGAGCCGATGATATTCGTTTAGTATTATATTTGACGTGAAAAAAAATTACTGAAATCGTAGAGAACTTCAAAGTTCGAATTCTGAAAGGATACATCGGAATCATGGGTGGTACAGAAGCTGACATCTAGGTGGTTACGAAAATGTGCACAATTGGGTAAAGTCTGCGACCGTTGACTTACTGCGAGTGCTTGTGTGAAGAGCACGACGGCAACGAGGCATGCTGCTAGCCGAATAATTACTGTTGATCCCAAAACCACGTACGGCGGTACCTACACACATACGCCCATAAGATAAAAACAAACTGAACCAAAACACAACAAAAAAGGAGAGAAAAAGAAAAAGAAAAACGAGTCAATAGAAATAGGATTTACCTTGTAGGAAGCGACAAGGGTGTCAATGATGGTGAAAAGAATAGGGAAGATCTGCATCCTCAAAAACGCATTTCTGGAACAAACAATATACATACGTTTCCTACACAAAGAATACTTCCAAATACTGCATATGGGCAAAGTGTGTAAGCACTGAGAGAATGATACTTCTCGTCCAGAATCTCTACCAATTCATGCAAACCCGCAGAAGAAAGCCACCGCCTACCAAGTGAAAGATAAGTGATTCGGTTCTCTTGTGCGTATGCCTACAGCTAGAGGAGGTTGGATATTGGTCCACTCTCGTAACTGTAGCGCAGGTGATTCGGCTTCACGTCAAATCACTCTGCACTACAGTTTACATTTTCCCATCATGAAAATTACACGTATGAAAGTAGAACATGCGGTACTAAAGAAAGTGGTAATCACCAGCCACTTCACCCTCAATCTTTCACGGAAATCATTCCCGAGGGCATTGATCCCTCCTGATATAAATTTTTGGTGAGTAGTTCTGTTCTACAGGAAACAGACTCAGAATTACTTAGAAGCGAGTAAGTTTTCGCCAAGACCTTTACGAGTACAGGTGTTTACGCCAATAGCATGAACACAGAAAGTATAGGGTCCATATTTGGAATATCCAGATTTAAAGGAGCGAACAAGTCAGTTACACCGTAATCAGGACGTCGTAGTTGTTACTAAACTGATTCTCTATAGGAATCAGATCGGACCAGGGCATCCACGCTTTACCAATAATCTAAGGTTTTTAACCAGGGTTGTCCGAATTGTTACAGTATCGTGGTACACCGCTATAATGCATATGTAGTTGAACTTCGACCTTAATGCTGGAAAGTTTTCTCCTCAGGTATTTTCCACAACTTTCTATGTGGAAATTGTCCGGGAAAGGTGATACCACTATCGTTGAAAAGATGAAATTTCTACTTCAATTTGTCACCACGAACATCAAAACAACACACTGCTACCACTGAAAATTTCCCGAAACCATGAAAGAAAAGTAAAACTCACGCGTACGGAATGTAATTAATTTCTTCTGGTCGGACGACTGCTTTATGTGCATAGTAGAAAGCAACAATAGATGAGAACAATGTTGACCAGAAAATGAGATCGGCAATGATGAAGGAGATTAGAGCGAAAACTGAGTTCGCGCTACAAGAGGAAATACATTGATAAAATGTCGTTAAATGTTGTGGAAGAAAAATTATAATAACATTAATAATTCTGATAAATAAAAGAATTATAAATGGCTTTAAGACCTTTGAAACTACAATTCACACTCCTAAAATGGAGAAAGAACGAAAACGATCTGAGAAATGAAAGAATCAGAGGGGCCTCATGACTAGCACGATTTAAGAAGCTCGAAGTGCACTGCTGTAAATAGCTAAAAGAAATTTCAAGTACATCTGGCAATGAAGCTAGGTCTTCAGCCCGAATCATTTCTTCTCCATGCTCCTGAACCTTTTTTATCCCTCAAGGATCTTAGAATCAAGGATTTTATCCAAAGATCATCCAGTAATCTGAGAATAACTTCTTTGGTGGCTGCTATCGCTCACTTCCAATCATTACAATCTCGACGATATTTCCCAGAAGCCTCTCACACCGCTTAAGGAAGTGAGGGTTAATGGTACAACCACTTCGCTTGCAATGGAAAAATCGTAACAAACCTCTGGAAATCGGTGAGAAAGAACAGACTGGCATGCAGTCGATTAACCAAGAAAAAGAGCAAAAAGGATCGTAGTGATGGATCGTTTCTTACGAGGGACCGGTACTCATGCCAACCTTGAGGTTGGATATGGCGTAAGGTCTTGTAATCGGATCTGAGAGACAAATTCCGCTGATTTGCTGAAGACGGGTGCTCAATAATGACTGATTGACGCTGTTGTAGAACTCGAAGCTACGAAGGCTCCTCTGAGGCAAGCATTTCTCGGTCGGAGCCACGGATCTGGCACAAAGCTTCCCACCTTTAAGTTTTTGGATCAACTTGTGCAAAACACAATTGAGAATTATGAGCTGTCGAAAATTGCGTAGACTAGGAGAGCCTACCGGCATGATATTCTCAACCTAATTTATGTAAACAAAAATAGGCATATGATTCAAAACAGATTCAAATTATCACCTGTAGAAATTGTACGTTGTGTACTGAGTGAGTAGTTCTTGATAGATAGTTACTTCTTTGCTGAAACAATATCGCCTTCTGTGAATGGCCATTCCAGTTGTAAAACAGTGGTTTATATAAATCACTACAAGTCGACTAAATGCAAAGTGGGGCTGACCTCTGAAGATCCAGGATTTGATCGGGGGCTATTCTCGGAGGAAGACTCCAAACCAAGTCTCTGAAAGGGTTTTTGGTCATCATAATCGGAGTTGTCAAATCTAATCGACAATGTAGGATCGAAATCGATTATCGTCTAACCTTGATCCGTGGTGAGTAATACTGGTTTGTATTTCGGTATAAATGTCGAAAACACATTCCAGTAGTATGAATTGAATCAGCATTAAGGCGAAGACCTTCAAGAAATCTCTCTTGATAGTTGCTGACAGCACGCACAGCAGTAATGACAGAATGCATTTAGCTGCCAGAGTTCCGATACGGTAATAATTAGGCAGATACGGTAGAAGGGAGGCTGAAATGGATCATACAGTCACGAGTCTGGAGCAGTTTCTTCTCAATGAAACTCTAAAAGAAATTCATACAGACGGGTATAAACTTTGTAAAATATTCTATCATGTTATGCTGAGACCTTTGAGCATGCCCAAAAAGCAGAAACCCCGGGAAGGCTCAACTTTAACATCGACGCCATCGAAGTTTATCATCGAAGACGAAAAGCAAAAATTTCCAATCTGTGGTTGTATTTTTGAAGGATCAACTCGAAATTTCACACAAAGGAGATCTTAGGGACTCATGTAGACATCAATAGGGCCTATGTTTACCAATCATTTCAGCAGGCCAGAGAATATATAATAAAAACAATGATATGTACATTGGTTAGTTCCTGCAAGCCAGTAGGTAATCCAAGTGAGGTTATAAACGCTAGAGCGTTTCTTACCGGGATTTGATTGCATTGATTCTCCCAAATTCAGCATGCACCAAGATTTAGCCCTCTTTCATATTGCATCCTTTCAAATCGCAGTCTCACAGAAGTTCCTTCTAGGAGTTTTTTGATTAGACACGGATACATACCCATTGTTGTGGCTGGTTGTACAAGCGTCAATGTTGTGTTCCCAGTGAAGTTTGAGACGTCACTATTAACCAGTACGGTATCCATGAGCACGGGGTCCAAATGGTTTGGAGATTCTCCGGAAAACTCCAGCAACTCATCCTCCATTACTGAAACTGTTGTGTAACAGAAAAAAAAGACTTAATGGACATGCTCTAAAAGCGGTACGATACCAGCGACCAAAAGCAAAAGAATTAGAGCGAGATTTCGAAGAAGTTCATAAAAAATTGCCTTGAAAAGTTCAGTGAAGATCAGATTTCAATTACCAGTAAGAGTCTGATAAGATACAGTGGACAGCAGTAAGTCAAACAAAAAAGAAGACATACAAAGTGCGTATTATAATTCGAGCTTTTAAAAATCAAGCTCAAGGTTTTTCAGTTCACAGAAAATTTGCCTTCAACATCTCAGGCACATATCAGGGACGACTATGAAGAGAAAGTGATAGAAGGTCTCTTCAAGCTCGTATCGTTCATATCTGTATGAGCCTTTTATATGTATGTCTATATGTATATCTATACATTTATAATATATATTCACACGCCGGGGTGGTGTGGTGGCAAGTGGCGCACTTCACGCGCGCATGGTCATGGATTCGAGTCTGGGATCGATTGCCTAGGCCAACCAAGCCTTCCATTTCTCAGCGATCGGTTAACTGGTACCAGACCCGTCTGGGAACATGAAAGCACTGAATTGTACATTGGCTGGCCACCGCAAATCATTGTACAGGCCACACACGTATTCAATACGCCACTACGATTCTGAATGGGAGCCGAATGCGTGGGCGCATCCTTCAGACAGGATTGATTAACGTCCCGAGACCTCAGTCTTTATTTTTTTATACATATTTGCTGTTATGATGAGAATAATTGGAATGAAGTGAGTAAATAGTTACTGTTAAGAAGTTTGACTCGAAAAACTCGAGTGAATCGGCATGTTTTCAGATGGCAAGACATTTAAATGCAAATATGAAGGCCTACGATGTTGTAAACTAGTTAGTTACGGCGAACGAAGAACGAGTTCCACGTTTTCATTTTTCGACGATCCCAGCTTTATGTAAATCGGGTTGAGGCCAAAATCACCCTTTTTTCCTATCGGGAACGAGTCAAGTTTCCACAGAAGCTCAAGCACTGGATTATGGACTGCGCCGACTGATGGAAGGGTGATCGAGATATTTCCTGCTCGATGATGTTTTTGAAAATATCTCGTGGTTTCTAAGATATGACTCTGCGATGTCATCCGGAAAGATAAAAATGCTTGAGACTCAACAGAGAGAGGGGTTCGCGAGAGTGTAATCGTACTCTGATGGGAATTGTAAGCGTAGGGATCGACACAGAAGGTGCAGTCAGCCCTCATCGGTATAACAAGCTGGTAATCAGGAGACACGGACTGTAGAAGATACGAAAGTGAGAAGAATGTGCAATGTGCGTCCTTCTGAGCCGATGGTAGTTAAGACAATTCCGGTCGGTACAAGGGAAAAACAGCACAAACGGCAACAGAAGGTGGTTCAGATACTCATTAATCAGTAAGTCATAGCCGATATGGGTATGTAGTCCCGGGAATATCACATATAGCCAATATATATTTCCATGTGATCACTGGCGATCAGGGCTAAATACGAAGAATGTGGAACAAATTGCAAGTGATTCGTAAGAAATAAACGAATTTGCTTGAGAAAATTCTTCGGAATTGATGGGTAAGTAAGAAAGGAACTGGTTCAATTAAACCTTCACAAACCAATAGTTATGAGCACTGAGCAAATGAGAAGATAGAGAATGAACGGGCATCAAATACAGGAAAAACCTTCAGTCAACGAAAGATAGGCAGTAAATTGTTTATTCAAGAGAGTCAATGGATGTGAAGGATTCGAGAAGCTCCCTTTTGACTCATGAAATTTGAAAATTAAGAAGCGCAGCACTCAGAATCCAGAAATCACCGAGAAATGGCTATTTGGTGAATGTGTGTTTTGTTCTTGAAAATGAAGGAAATGAAAAAACGAAAAAAAGAATGAAAATGTCTAATCGACTTGTTGTGTAAATAATTGTTTACTGTTTAAAATGGGAATCAGTAGAAGTACGGTAACGGGAAGCGATACGGTTATCCCATGCTTACATGCTCTGAGGAATTAAACCACTGGGGGTTCATCCGGGTGACCTCACTGACGGATCGATTAATAACTAGTTTCGACATGTTGTTTCTTGCTAATTGTTGTTTTCCATCACAAAACATGACAAAGATGGCAAGTCGAAACAAGTAAACAACAAATACAACGAGTTGAAACAAGTAAATCAAAGGATTACCGTTTCACCGTTCACTGCCGATATCAGCGTCTGTTACGTAAGCCATGAACGAGTCAGTTCCATCTCCCAGACCCGCCTGATACCAATTAATCGACCTCGGAGGGATGGAAGGCTTGGCGGTGGGTGGGTGTCCGGGACTTGATCTCTAGACCATGCATGTGCAATACCCCAGTAATGAAGTACCATCTATTGGTACTGGTACCAGTTGGTACTTCATTACTACCGTCTCTCGAAATACAATATTATTGGTCAGTAATTACGGTACATGCCACATCTAGAATGATATGATTTTGCCCTTAAGGNATGATAGGAGATGAGATGGGGAATGAAGAGTTCTGAGAAATTCCTTTTGATGACAAATAATGATGTAAAAAGTTTGTTAACGTTTCTAAATAATTAGCCTATGTACTTAGACTGACTTGGGCTCATAACTGAATAGCTATGTACCAAATAAATGCACTCGCCATTAGACCATTAATATGGGTTTCTGAAGTACCTGTCAGTTTCAGCTCCAATAGAAGCCATCATAGAACCTATAAAATGGATCAACTGTCTGCCGTTGTTCATGGGCCTATTTTTCCTCGTTTATTGGAACGATGACAAGTGTTTTCTGGTCTACTGTAGTCTTCTTCCACAAGAAGATAATATCATCTCAGACAACAGCGATACTTGAGTTTATCATTTAATGAAGCGTAATACTAACATGGAGCTCCCTCTGATGTGTGTGTAGGGCAAGGGAAGGCCTTCCTGATTTCTGTTGATGGGTATACAAGTGCGCAGTAAAAGTTGAAGCGTTGGGACTGAAAATCAGCTCAAACTCAAACTTGTGCCAAAAAAAAAAAACGAATCGAGTCTTGGAAAATATTAGACCTGTGAGGCGTTGTTGTTGGATGAAGAACAGAATTGCCTCTTAACTTATTGCTAATTTCCACTTAACGAGTGTGAACGCCTTGCTATGGTTGCGTCACAGACGGGTTCTCGACCACTTTACACATTTGGCTGTTTGTTTGGAGGGATCGGCAAGCTCTAGAAATTCCAACCTATGTAGTCCTGAAAGCTCGGAGAGCTCCTCAGGTTGAGTCTCTGAAGTGATCCAATGAACCAAACAGATTGAGCCATCATGAAGGAGTTCAACTATCAAACCATAATGTGATTGCTAGCGAAAGAAGTGTCATTTAGAATCAATTTGTCCACTGGTTCAAGCAGAAATGACTGAATCTCTGAGAAGGTATTTTGAACGGGGTAGAGGGTTTCGTTAATAGGGCGAGAGCAAGCGGGGTCTCGGTAGTGTAATGGATAAGAGCACGGTGCCAGATCCGAGGCCCTGGTTTCGCCCTTAAACAGCCACTCCTGTGGATTTAGAGAACTCTCGCACAAATCAAACTGTAAGTTATTGTCTCAGAAGTCCTGTTAGGGAAGCCATCTTCAAATGGAAGTCGAAAGAACCAAGGGAGCTCAACTGCTCCAATGAGTGTGACAAGGATGACTGTACTCTCTAAGAACCATGGAATGCCATGAAATCTGCGAACGATGCTCTTTGTGATAAATACAAATGATTCGTTGGCATTCAGACAATCTGCACGTCGATTGGAAAAGTCATGGAATGAAGGAAAGATNCAAAATACCGTACTCTGTGACTTAGATTGATGAGCAAGGATTGCACGATGGGAGAGAAAACTGCGGAACTCCATCAGATACGTTATTACAATAATATGAGCCTATCATCATGATAAATTCTTCAAAGTACAATTTAACCCCATGTCGAAATTGGTTTAGTTGAGAAAAAGCGATTTCGAACATTTGAGGCACCGCGACGTTGGGTAACGAGCTTCAGCAACGAGAATGAGAATAATTTCATTCCGGGTGAAATGTTATTTAGAAGGCGAGGGCGAGGGCGAGGGTGAGATAGTGTCGATAGTGTGAAGAATAAAGAGCACCGAAAGACAAGTGCGGGTTCGAGTTCGGTGCGAGACTGACCGTTCTGCCCTTAACTGGCCATCGGCCATCTTCGTGAGACATGGAATTTCATCTAATTTGGGTGTGGTAAGAACAACGAATTTTTGGGTTGTACTGCAATGCATGCATTGATTGTTTCACGTTACGCTCGTGGTTTCACTTCCAGTGAGGGTCACTGTAATAGGATGAAATCGAAGTCATCTCAGCTCCTGGGGCTGCCTACTACTTGTTGGAGTTTTTGTTAGCTACTGTTATTACGTGATGCAAAAGTTCGTAAAGTTGGCTAGTTCAGGGCAAAACGTAGACGTCGGACGGGACCCGAACCCGCACTTGTGCCTCCCGAGCTCCGTGCTACCGTCTACATTATCCCTGCCCTGTGCTCACCTCGATCGGTCATGAAGAGGCAGATGAGGTGGTACGGCGATTAAAAAAAAGAGCAATGCGTGGTTTCAATGATGTTGATTTCGACTAGAAAATCGGTCAGAACTTCGGGAAAGATAGTTTATCAATTAAATAAGCAGTGGTAAATGTAAACGGAATTCGATATGTCACGAGATTCAAGTGCATAGCATACGTGGAATCACCAATGGGAGAACTTCCAGTTTGTCCTTGGAGCTACCCCTTTCTGTGGCTAGCAAAGATGACGACCAACGAAAATCGAGATAGATGACCGACCAATTGAAAGGAAATTAATGGCAAAATAATAAATCTAAGGAAACTTGAGGAGGGACATGGAAGGTAATGTTGCTCAACAATTCGTAGAGCATTCGGACTGCCGTCGGAACATGTAATAAACTGATTGTTCGGCTAGTATAATGTTCGGATGGCATCCTAACAATTTACAAACGTGCAATT